ATAATAAAATGTACTTGTTTCCACAGCCCACTGGGATGAGAAGTTCCACCACAAGATGGTTGACAACCGTGGTTTCCTGGTGACCCGCTCTCACACAGTCTCTGTCCCAATGATGCATCGCACAGGTACTGTAAACCCAACAGCCTGTTGTCTCCTATTAAAAAGTCAATAATATCCACATAGGTATTTAACAGTTCTCGTCTTTTACAGGAATCTACGGCTTCTATGAAGACACGGAGAACAGGTTTCTAATAGTCAGCATGCCTTTGGCGCATAAGAAGTCCAGCATGATTTTCATCATGCCGTACCACGTGGAGCCTCTGGATCGGCTGGAGAATCTTCTCACCCGCCAGCAGCTGGACACCTGGATTAGCAAACTTGAGGAGAGAGCGGTCGCCATCTCTTTGCCCAAAGTGAGCATGGAAGTCAGCCACGACCTTCAGGTGAATATGACAGATTTCTGCCTCACAGTTGCTCGTAAACCACTCTTTCTCTCTCCATGCATGATGTACAAGCATCTTTTTCCTTGCTTTGCAGAAACATCTTGGAGAACTCGGTCTCACTGAAGCTGTGGACAAGTCTAAGGCAGATCTGTCCAACATTTCCGGCAAGAAAGACCTTTACCTCTCCAATGTCTTCCATGCCTCCTCCTTGGAGTGGGACACAGAGGGAAACCCATTTGACCCCAGCATTTTCGGCAGTGAGAAGATGAGGAACCCCAAGCTCTTTTACGCCGACCATCCCTTCATTTTCCTTGTGAAAGACAACAAGACCAACTCCATCCTTTTTATTGGCAGGCTAGTTCGCCCTAAGGGTGATAAGATGAGAGATGAATTGTAACTTTTAGGCTATTTGAATGAACTTTTGGAAATTTATTTTTTATTATTATTTTTTTTCAAACTGTTATTATTGTAATTAATGGTGTTACCTCAGGTGTATGGACAATCTAAGTGAATTTGTCAGTACAAAAGCATTGTTTAAGAAGATAGGTGGTATGTGTCAGGAGCAATGGTAGAAATAAGTGAGATATATTTGAACCGCACAAAAGGACCAGTGGTTTGACATCAATTATGTCATGTGAATTATTCAATTAAACACTATGCTTACATTAAGTGTAGTGTAATTGATGTTGAGCCATGGTGTTATGATATTCATGATAGTGCTTGTAGAACCTCTCTTTATGAGTTTGTAACATCTGGGTAGGGTTGACCTTATCTTTAATGTTTAAAGGGAAAAGGTAATCCTACTCAATTGTTTCTTAAAGCACAGTTTTGTAGGCTCTTTTATTTCACTTTCATCCAACAAAACGAACTGCTGCAGAAATTTCCAGGTTGACAAATGCCATGTTTTGATATGTCTTAATTCTAAAAATGTTTTGAGCAAGTTTTTCCTTCTTTTTGTCATCATTTTTTTCAATAAACTGAAATGGAAAATATCTATAATATCATGTCTTTTTTATACTTTTAAATTATTTAGAATTATAAATAATACATCATTATAAAGGTGCTGCGGTGGCGCAGTGGGTAGCCACATCACCTCACAGCAAGAAGGTTGCTAGTTTGAGTCTCGGCTATGTCAGTTGCCATTTTTGTGTGGAGTTTGCATGTTCTCCCCTTGTTGCGGTGGCTTTCTTCCGGGCGCTCCGGTTTCCCCCACAAGTCCAAAGACATGCAGTATAGGTGAATTAGATAAGCTAAATTGTCCGCAGTGTACGTGAGTAAATGAGAGTAAATGAATGTTTCCCAGTGGTGGGTTGCAGCTGGAAGGGCATCAGCAGCGTAAAATATGCTGGATAAGTTGGCTGTTTATTCCGCTGTGGTGACCCCAGATTAATAAAGGGACTGAGCCAAAAAGAAAATGAATGAATGAATGAATGAATGAATGATTGAACATAAAGAAGTTGATGTTAACATGAAATAAAACAAATAAAACCAACAAATGGCAGATAAAAGCTCGGTGGCTTGCCTCATAAAAATTGAACTTTGGTAACCACATGGTTTGCACATGGTTTGCACATAATAAATCGTTATTAAAAAAACACTCTGTGGGAATCATTTTTGTAATTTACAAGTGAGGCAAAACATTTACCGCCTGATCACCACACATCACATAAATAAACAATATTGTATTTTCAATTATAAAAAGGGTGAAACTTGATCAATTTGAATACTGTTTACATTATTAAATGAGCTATTTGCACACATACTTCATTTCAGCCAGCCAGCCTCAGCACTTCTGGTGAACTTTCATTTAATATCTGATTTCTTTACAATATAAAGTGGGTCTCAGCCCGAAAAGAAGCACAGCATTAAATTCTGTTTACTTTACACCAGTATTTTCAATACTGGTGTAAGAGTTTCTGCGCTAACCTGCTGATCCTGACGATGCTAGATAACTACAACTAAATGAATGCTTACTGTAAGTCTATTTAACTAAATGTATTGTAATTACATTACAACATCAATGATGTAAACAGAACCTTGCGAAATTGACAATAGTCACATTAAACGTTCACTGGAAGTTTATCATTGGCTGTAAAACACTAGCTGTGCATAGAGCCCATTTACAGTGTTGTCTGTTTAACATTACAACGGTTTTCTTGTCGTCTTGTCTGAGCAAAAAAGTTCACATACTAACCATTTCTAATACCAGTGGCGCCTTGTCCGTCCCCGTGTTTATAGTGATTATGAGACCTGCAAATCACAGCACATTGTCACTGCTCTGTCATTACAAACAGTTTAATCCCATTCATTCCGCCTGGCTTGATGTGTCAAATCCTGGAATGTAGAGCTTTATCTGTGTGTTTATGGCAGTGTCTCACCTCCTCACCTGACACACACTTCCCTGACACCCTGCTGTCTTTATGGTACCATAAACACCACAATTTAAAAGAGGATTGTTGATGTTGGAGAGCAGTAATTTCCTTTCACACTTGCAGATCCGTTCCGTGGACATAAACGAAGGAGGAATTAGAGGCTGGAGTCAAGGGCTCTCACGGTGAGATGGGCAATCAGCAGAGGCTAAAAATACCCAAAGAGGAAGAGATTACTAATCAATGTGTAACCTTGACAAAAAATGACCTTGAATCCTTGTGCAACATTTGTTTCATAAATGGTTGGTTTAAGGAGTTAAAAATATGATTAAAAAACGGCATCCTAGTTTAGTGTAGGACTACAATACAAACATCTGTATTACAGCGCCATCTTGTGGTAAGCAACCAAACTGCATATTTATTATTTTAATAATAAATTACTTTTTAAAAGACTGAAAAAGTCACAATTTCATCTTAATCACAATCTTATTTTAAACTATAAAAACCAACAGCTTAAATTGTGTATCGAAATTATAAATACATATACTGTAGGCTATCATGCTTATTAATGAACATTTTGAAGTGAAAAAAATACTTATTTGTTTGCAACACTATACTGTTTCCTTAATGTATTGAGAACAAAATAAGTTTAATTTAAAAATGTAAAAATGCAACTTTGTGCCATTACCAAGTGATTTTACTTAATTTTGCACACAAAAAGAAAACTTTGAAAAAAAAGAAGAAAAAAGTTTGAATAACTCTGCTCCAAACCCCTAGAATATGAAAAGAATTGTACTTTATCTTCTTGTCTGACTGTGAGTTTTCTTTTTCCGTTTTTGTCTTGTTTTCCAGCAAATGTCATAAGATTCTGAAAGCAGGTAAGATAAGAAACTGTGCAGTCACTCCAGAGATAAAACATTACTTTATTTTACAATTTCATTTAAAATAAAATTAGCTGTAACTTTTGTGTGCTCTCAAATACCTGTATTGGAGTTCTTATGTAGCAACTTCAGACCAGCGGCTTTAAAATTCATAAATGGCCCAGGATTGTGTGTATTTTGTGTTGTAGAGCAAAACTGTAAAAATAACAAACCTTGGTCTGACACCATAAAAAACAATCCCTAATCTACTAGCCTGCTTGTAAATCCTAAGTAAAATTACTCATCTCAACTCATTTTTGTCCACTTTTCCGGGGCAGGTCAGGGGGCAGCATTCTTAGGAGAGAACCCCAGACTTCCCTCTCCCCAGACACTTCATCCATGTCATCCAGGGGTATCCCAAAGCGTTCCCTGACATAGTCATAGACATAGTCCCTACAGCGTGTCCTGGGTCTTCACCGTGGCCTCCTCTCCATGGGACATGCCTGGAACTCCTCCCTAGGTAGGCGTCCAGGAGGCATCCGAAACAGATGCCCGAGCCACCTCAGCTGACTTCTCTTGATGTGGAGGAACAGCGGCTCTACTCAATTATCCTCCCGGGTGACAAAGCTCCTCTCCCTATCTAAAAGGGTGCGCCCTGCCACTCTGAGAAGGAAACAAATTTCGCCCACTTGTATCCGAGATCTTGTCCTTTCAGTCATGACCCAAAGCTCACGACCATAGGTAAGAGTAAGAATGTAGGTTGACCGGTAAATAGAGAGCTTTGCCTTTCGGCTCAGCTCCTTCTTTACCACAACGGACCGGTACATCGACCACTTTACTGCTGCTGCTGCATCAATTGGTCTGTCAATATCACGTTCCAACCCTGCCTTACTCATGAACAAAACCCCAAGATGCTTGAACTCCTCAACCTGGGGTAAGACCTGGATATGTCAAACCATCTTTTTCCTGGGGTTGGGGCTCAAATGCGAGCTCCTGGTGGCCGGGTTTTATCCTACGGATTCCAGGGGACGATCTGCAGGGGGAGCTGTAAAGGGCCGGGGCATTGTGGAACAAGTGGTGGTCGAAGGTTAGGACCATGACAACCCAATCGTCAGGAACAGAAACTAAAACTAAACTAATATCGAGAATTGTAGCACATTAATCAGATTATTCCCTAATGTTACCTGCTGCTTTTCCTTGCCTCACCCATACCATGGTGTACATTCAAACAACTGTGCCCACAATATTTCACAAAAAATAGTAAAAATAATCATTATTATGAAAAAGATTGCTTAATGTATAAAGAGACAAAAAAAGGACAAAAAGAATTGGTTTGACTGGTTAGCATGTTATTGTATGTACACAGCATCAGAACATGTATCTTTTGTTAGCATGAAATTGAGCGTTTGGAAACTAGCAGCTATCCATACAGTTGTTAATAAAATGTAACAATTATAGACTCTGGATGTATCTTTATATTGTACAGTACTTATTTACATGTTTAACATGCAATGTAAAATGCTAGGAGTGCAAAACTGAACTATCACAGAGAGACATCCGCCTGTTGAGATCTGACTGGCCAAAAGCATTGACAAACAGAAAATGAAGAAAAAATTCAGAAATATGATCATTAAAAACACCACTCAGGCTGTGCCTGAGAGTTTAGAAGAACAGAAAATGCCATTTGTGATTTGAAACAGCTTGTGTAAGGCAGTCAATCCCTCTCAGACAAACCCAGCCTAAATGTTTAATACAACTTAAACTGCACAGCAACTTAAACATTTCATTTTCTATCCATTACAAGCACATGTGTTTCATCAGAGAGAGATAAGACCCTTTATTAAACCGATTAGTCTGATTTAATGCCATTTAAAAGCAGTCAGACGTCAATTACGCTCCAGTTTTCTAAATGTATGGCAACTAATATGAAGTTTTCTGCATAGTATAAATAAACGTGTTTGCATACATGAACAGAATTCACAGAATTATTGCATTCCACTGTGTAATATCTCTTCAGCAACTTCTTACTCAGCATAAACACAGTCATACTCATCACCAGTCCAGAGACAACACACAGCAGCCTTACATTTGTAATTGCTTGCTATCAACCAACCTCTCGCAATTTGGCTTTTACATTTAAACATCTCTAGAATATCACATTTGGTCTTTGAAACAGATATCCAATAAGCTTTTGCCAAATCTGATTATGTCACTACATTGTTTTTTAGTTAGAGAATATCAAAGAAAATCAATGAAAGCTCCACCGTGAGTAACAAATATGTGGCAAACTCTAAAAAATCCCAAACATGAGCTCACCTTTGGTATGGGATGCACACACAGCCACTCTGTGGCCAAAACTGAGAAAGTATGACAGCGTTAAACATTGGAAAGCAATACACTTTCACTGACTACCTGCCATTTCATTAGCGCTGTTGTTTCTGCTGCGCTGTGCAGAGTCGGATTAGACAGACGACTATTAATCCTATTAAAGTAGTCTTTGTAAGCTGCAGTGAAACACACATGCTTGTGTTGCCCTTTGTGTCTTTCCCATGCAGCTTGCCGTGTGTCTTTCCTTATTTGTCAGTTCTAACTTCATTCCTTGGGTTTTTTGAAAATTGTTAGATTTTGTGCTTGTCCACTGGTCTGTTGGCCTTGCGAAATAATGACTTGATCTCCTCCGTCATCATGTCTTGCCAGTTATCTCTAAAAGACAAAGTTATGAATGAGATTCATTTTAGGACATTGGTAAGTACCACATTTCACAACAACAAAAAAATACACAACACACACTAATAAACAAGCAGTTTTTGCAAAGCCACAGTGAACACCAACACGACACAACCCCACCGAAAGTCACTCTGACCACATGACAAATACACAACAGCATGCAAGGTACTACCTCCTTGCATTTGGCTACGAGATCATGCCTTTTTCTCAGCTTTCCTTCTCTTGTAAGCCTCAATGTCCTCAGGTTTCAAACCATGGTTGTCTTCCCTGAGGCATAAATCCAATTTTCCAATCCATAAATAGTATCCCATTCATTCATATACAGAGAGATTTAATAGCACACATTTATTTAAAGTACAATGTGTTTTTTTATATTTGTACATTAATAAATGGTGCAAGTGAGTAAGATACTCCAATTGAATCAAAAGACCATACTAGTTCACATATTTCGTTCATTCATTTAAAACTTTAGCAATAAAAAAAATTAAATACATGTAAAAAATTATGTTAAAATAATATTAAAATCTTACCCTGGTTTGATCTCTGGTGGATTTGGCAAAGGCTTAGTAAAATTAGCTTTCCCAACAAGCCAGTATGTTTCTTCAATGCCTTTCCCCTATAAACAGTTAATAACACATTAATTAAACGATAAACAAGTACTTACAGTATTTAAGTGCATACGCTACTGTTCAAAATGTTTTTAAAGAAACCTCTTTTGCGCATCAAGGCTACATTTATATGATCAAATCCCAAATCCCATTAAAATAACTCCTTTCTATTTGAATATATTTGAAAAAATAAAACAATTTAAAGGGGACCTATTAAGCTTCATTTTACAAGATGTAAATTAAGTCTCTGATGTCCCTAGAGTGTGTATGTGAGTTGCTCAAAATACCACCCAAATAATGTTTTAAAACACTTTGAAATGACCCCTTTGATCCTAATTGTGGCGTTTTGGTGACTGTTGCTTTAAATTTAAATGAGATTGTACTTTTCAAAAGAGGGCGGAGCTACAAATACCTTCCCAGCAAGCATTTTTCATTTTAAAAGATGTCTAATAGATGTCTAATAGACGTCTAAACATAGTCGTCTTGGCTAAATTTGGGCTATCAGTGAAAATCTAATAGACGTCTAAGAAAAGGCCAAAGCTAGACTAGTCATCAAATAAAAAGAAATGAATGACCTCACATATAAAGTCTGTCTAATCTGTCTATTTGAAGACTAGTCTAGTTTTGGGCTATTCTTAGACGTCTATTAGATTTTCACTGACAGCCCAAGCGTCATGATGGCGCAGTGCGTAGCTAAATCACAGCCTTACAGCAAGAAGGTCGCTGGTTCGAGTCCTGGCTGGGTCAGTTGTCATCTCTGTGAGTTTGCATGTTCTCTCTGTGTTCATGTGGGTTTCCTCCGGGTGCTCCAGTTTTCCCCACAGTCCAAAGACATGTGCTATAGGTGAATTGAATAAGATAAATTGGCCATAGTGTATGTGTGTGAATGAGTGTGTGTGGGTGTTTTCCAGTGTTGGGTTGCAGCTAGAAGGGCATCCATTGCATAAAACAAGCTGGATAAGTTGGTGGTTCATCCCGCTGTGGCGAGCCCTGATTAATAAAGAGACTAAACCGAAAAGAAATAAATGAATGAATGACAGCCCAAGTTTAGCCTTGTTTTAGTCAATCTGTCTACCGTTAGATGTCTATTGGACGTCTATTAAACACAAAACCATAGTGGCAGATTGAAAAACGAATGAGGCAGAGGTCGTCACTAATTGGCCCGACAGGTACAAAGATATAATGTCAATCAAAGTGTTTCTGCAGTGTTTTTATCAAGTGTGATTTTAAAAAATAAAATTAGTGATTTTTTACCATCAGAAGCTGGTTATATTCACAGACAGTTGCCCCATAACTGTGTTTAACCTTACATAACAGTAATTTTTCTTTGCTTATTAAATCTCCTTTACTGGAAAAGCTGAATTTTCAGCAGCTTTAAGGGTTTACCAAGCTCCAAGTGTCACAATGACTCCTTGGAAATCTTTCTAATACGTAGATTTAGTGTTCAAAAATATATTTATTATTATTAATTTTAGTAATTAGCATTCAGAATTCATTTACGATAGAATATGACAATATTTTAGGGTTTTCTGTCTTTAATTAGGATAGGATAATGCAGGACAGACAGGAAAGTTTTGGGAGCAGATAGAATGTATTGTCAAAGCACTTAACCACTAGTCTATTGGCACCGACAAATTTGAACAAATCTTAATGAATCTTTTTTATAAACTTAATGCCTACTTGCCGAATTAAAACAATTAAAAATCAAATTAAACTGACCCCAAACTTTCAATGCCTGTTCAAATTTTATTTTGCTAGTTATAATCTGTAAAAGAAAACATTTGTGTTAGTACCTTCAGCTCAGTCTTTCCACGAACATCTATTTTGTAGCCATCATTCAGTGAGCGGAGAATTTGCACTGTACTAATGTTCACATGAATTCTGTAAGCTGAAGGAAATAATGTTTGTTAACAGAGTATCCAAATACAGCACACAATGTTTCCATATCACATCTGTAAAAAAGAAATCTAAATGGAACATACGCAACCCTGTAGATTCCATACGAGAGGCGGTGTTGACTGTGTCTCCAAAAAGGCAGTATCTAGGCATAGTTAGACCCACGACTCCAGCAACACACGGCCCTGGATAGAGAACAAACAGGATAAGATACGGTAAAGAGCAATTCAATACTGTACTTAACAAAGAGAGTAAATTCATTAACTTGATTTTTTAAAATTATGCACATTTTATAATTCTGCACATAATTAGTTCATCCAAATATGAAAATGTATTCATGAAAATGTTGCTCCAAACCTTTATGAGTATCTTTATTCTGTTGAACATTAAAAAAGCTAAAAATGGTAAACATTGACTTCCATAGTAAAAAAAACTAATACTATGGAGGTCAATGGTTACAGGTTTTCAGCTTTCTTCAAAATATCTTTCCTGTGTGCAAAAGAAGAAAGAAACTCAAACAAGTTTGGTAGAAGCAAAGGGTAAGTAAATGCTGACAAAATTTTTAGTTTACTCATTTTTTTATGGTAAAGTCAACTAAAGGCTTTAAAAGCACTATATATATATATATATATATATATATATATATATATATATAGGTCCTATGTCGATATACCGATACAGCACTAAAAATGACTGAAGTGAAAGTTAAAGTACACATTTGAAAAGCTACTTAGTTAAGTAAAATTCCTGAAGAAAACTACTCAATTACAGTAATTTAAGTATTTTTAATTTGTTACTTCACACCACTGGGCATTGATCATGGAATGTATATCTGGCAACGCAAATACAGCTTCAAGTGAGAGAGTAAAAGAATCACAACATCAAATGCGCAGACATATGAGAAAGTTACTTAGTACTGTTGTTTGATTTAGTACCTTAGACTTGATGATTTAGTACATTTGACTCAAATTGTACACAAAAATGTGCTACTTTTCATTCCTTTTGGGGGGGTTGTGAGCTGTCATTGGGCTAGAATATTTTCTTAGACCTAGCAACCCTTAGGTTACACTTTTATTTAGCTTTAACCAATTGTGACCATGAAAACACATCTCAATAACTGACCAAAATAGACCTATGAGTGATAAAACTACAGCAGAGTGACATTAAATTTTAATGCATGATGATTACATGAGCATTTACAATCAATCAGTTTTTCATAACATCAACCCTAACCGGATTAATAGACTAACCTGAGTGAATGCCGATCCGTATCCTGACCGGAACTTCAGGCATGTGCCGCATTTTGAAGGAGCCCACGGAGCTGAGAATGTTCAGCGACATGTTGGCGATCTCGGCTGCGTGCTTGTTGCCGTTCTTCTTTGGCAGCCCAGAGGCCACCATATAGGCATCTCCAATGGTTTCGACCTGTGAAAAAAAAAAGTTTAATGGCTTTTCTTGGAAATCTGTTTCATAATGTTGGTTTTCAGACACTCAAGCTCACCTTGTAGACATCATGGCTGCCCAGTACAGCGTCAAATAGGCTGTAGAGGTCATTGAGCAGGTCTACAACCTCTATTGGATCACTGAGAGATGAGATGGTGGTGAAGCCTACGATGTCACTGAAGTAGATGGTGACTTGATCGAAGTACTCTGGCTCCACGGAGGCACCGGTTTTCAGAGCTTCTGCCACAGAGCTGTAAATGAAGATTGAGATTTATACAGGAGCATGGCTTACTTTGAGAAGAGCGTAGGTCAGGGGTCACCAATCCTGGTCCAGGAGGGCCGGTGTTCCTGCAGGGTTTAGCTCCAACTTGCCTCAACACACCTGCCTGGGTGTTTCAAGTATTCCTTGTAAGACCTTGATTAGCTTGTTCAGCCTGTTTGATTAGGGTTGGAGCGAAAATCTGCAGGACACCGGCCCTACAGGAACAAGTTTGGTGATCACTGGCGTAGGTGTATGATAGTATTTACTCACGGAGGAAGCATCTCAGACAGAAGCTTCTCTGTCCTTTGTTTCTCCACCTCCAGCTCCTCTGTTCTTTCTCTGATCAGGTCTTCTAGGTTGGATGAGTACTGCTCCAGCATGCGCAACATGGAGTCGATAATGTTGGTCTTTTTGCCCTTGTTGATGAGCTTGAACTGAAAAAAAGGACGTTAGAAAAGGTTACCACTTATAATAAAAAAAGCTTTGTAATTTACCCAAAATGAAAATTGTGTCATTAATTTCTTGTTTCTTTCTTCTGTTCAACACAAAAGAAGATATTTTGAAGAATACTGATTAGCATACTGTTGGCTACTGTTGTAATTTTTTACATGTACAGCAGAAGAAAAAAAAATCATACAGGTTTGGAAACAGGTCGTCCCAATGCAAATCGATCAAGTTAACTTAATATCTATAATAGTTTTTACAATTTTAAGTATAATTTGAATTAAAAAAATCAAAATGTTGTTTCAGTTTGTTTTAAATAAGCAGTTTAAACAAGCAGCAACATTATTTTGAGTGTAAGAAAATCTTTCAGAATTCATCCTAACATGGAGATTTTTGTGCAATAATTATAAACTAATATCATCAATGTTGAAAATGCTTTTTCTGCTGAATTTTTTTTTGTCAGAACAACATTTACAAAATAACTTTTTGTAACATCTTAAATGTCTTTATTGTCTTTTGTTAATTTAATCCAACCTTTCTGAATAAACATATTTGTAAAAAGTTTTAATAATTGCACATTAATATAAAATGTATAATGTTACACATAGTAAACAACTATTGTATGTGAAAAAATTTTGAATCGAAATCCAGTACTTAATAATGAAATCTAATAGATAAAAGCAATAATTTATTTTTAAAATCACTATATAAAATGTCTGCCATTATATTCTAATCATCTTACAAGTTCTCTGTCTTAAACCTTCTCAGAGCTCACCTGATCAAAAATCTGATCAAAAGGAGGCCTTCTATCAGGCTGTTCACTCCAGCACTGCTTCATCAACTGGATGCACTCCAGTGGAGCTTGATCTGGAGCTACAGTGGGTCGGCACATAGGTGGAGGTTTCTTCACCTTTCTTATTATCTCTGTGGATACAATAAGTATCTTTGCTATAAAAATATATGTCAAGTTTCACTTATAATTCCTGCCTAGTTACTGTTAATCTCTGCTTAAAATAACTATAACAGTATGAACAACAATTTATTAACAACCAACCTTCAGGGGACAGGCCGAGCATGCAATACGGTGCTCCTCTGACAACAACTTCTTGAAGTATAATCGCAAAGCTGTACACATCTCCTTTATAAGTTCCTTTCCGTGGACTTTCAGGATCCCTGAGATGTTCAGGAGCTGTCCAGAATAGATCTGAGAGACAAGAAATTTACCTATGTTTTTTCAATAGCATTTGGGTATGTTAACATTTTAAAAAGCCCTAAAATGTGTTTCCTTTGCATTTTAAAAAGCTTACATAAAGATGACGGTATTGCCGAAATGTTGCCCATTCACACAAATCCACATTAATGACAAAAAAGATGTATAATACATGCTAGACCAGTAGTTTGGAATGTAAAATTGTAGGAAAAAAGACTTATATTTACGATTCTGTTTAGCCAATAATGGAATTGGAATTCTTGTTTTAATTAGCATGTCCTCATGCTTGCATATTGACTTTATTTGTCTCGTATGAGCGGGCACAGCCAATCTAATCTTTTTGGTTCGAGACTTCCGGTCTCATTCACTTCCACTGGTTGTTACAGTAGATGTCAGAAAACAGTCAAACTCTACAAACAAGTTATATATATATATATATATATATATATATATTCTTTTTTCTGTTATTTTTAAACACTTGTTTGTAGAGTTTGACTGTTTTCTGACATTTATTATTCCTAGTCATTTCTCCCATAGGCAACTGAATCATTCATTCATTGATTTTCCCTCGCCTTAGTCCCTTTATTCATCAGGGGTTGCCACAGCGGAATGAAGGGCCAACTTATCCAGCATATGTTTTACACAGCGGATGCCCTTGCCGCCGCAACCCAGTACTGGAAAACACCCATACACACTTATTCTCACTCATACACTACAGCCAATTTAGTTTATTCAATTCACCTATAGCGCATGTTTTTGGACTGTGGGGGAAAATGGAGCACCCAGAGGAAACACACATGAACACGAGGAGAACATGCAAACTCCACACAGAAATGCCAACTGAACCAGCCAGAACTCAAACCAGTAACCTTCTTATTGAGAGACAACAGTGCTAACCAATGAGCCACCGTGTCCCCGCAACTGAATCAAACATTGTAAAACAATGGCAACACGAGTCCACTTCCGCATTGCAGAATAAGGTCAATAGCCAGAACAGTTAATACAAATGTCCATGATGTCACGTTTTAGAATTACTCTTTAGTATTTCATACAATTCAATAACTGTATTATTGTTTAAAAAATTCCCTTTAAAACATCTTTTTAAAAGTTAACATTTTAGGCAACCATATAATAAAAGGATTTAACTTAAAATTACGTAAACATATTCTTACAATAAAAGTGAGATTTGCATTAAATAAATCTATTTTATCCAACATAAACTCTTACCCTCTGGTGGCAGTGTCTCCTTTGGTGCTTTCTGGGTCTCAAGAATCTCATTGTAACCATAATCAGTGATCTTTAAGACAAAACGTCCATCTACAACACAATTACGAGACTTCAGACGCCCATGAGGAAACTCCCTGTGGTGAAGATATTTCATGCCCTGTTGAATGGGGACCAAAAACCGTCAAGTGGAGTCAAAGACAGACATTGTGCAGATGATCTGGAGATTCATCACAAAGTACCTTGATGAGATCCAGCACCAAGGAGGATTTAAACATCCAGTCCAGTTTGACATCATCATTGCGAAGGAGGTCATGCAGACTCCCCCGAGAGCAGTGCTCAGTGACAATGGCAAACATCTCACAGTCGGTGAAGAACCCCAGAAATGGATTGACATTTTCATTCCGCAGGTCCTTCATCTGGGAATTATACATATGATAGGAACTGTCACTCAAACAACAAACCCACGGCAATCTGGAAGGGTGTGTTCACACTTGTAGCTGGTGGTTCTCTTGGTGTATTTGGTTCAAAAGAAAATGATATGTTTGGTCATGGTTCACTTAGTGTTCATGCTGTCAAGTTCATACAGACTGAATGTAAAGATGAAAAATTATTAATGGATAAAATTTTGTTTTTATGATGCACATTTTGCAACCAAACTTTTAGAACATCCAAAACAGCACCAGAATTTCCAGAAGCATGAAATGAAGTATCTGGAGAAAATTAGCAAATCCTCACAATTGTTTACAAAGAACATTTTATTAATTATTTCATCAAATGTTTTCTACTATAAAGAACTTTTTTATTAAATAAAAGTGTTGCATGAATGACAAAGGCCATCCATACCAATTAAGTACCTCTATTTTTAATAGTGTGCATTGAATAATGGGTAATGATGGCCAAGGTTGCTTATTTGAAAAGAAAAAACAAGAATGCTTGACTATTCTGTCCTTTTAATGGCCCCGTCTCTTGTTACGTCTTTGACCTGTTATGCATTCATATTTCAGCAGAGTTTGCTTAAAAAGCGCAATGATATGTTATCAACAGTTTTTGTTTGTTTGGTGTGTACCAAAGTTCGGATATCAGCGTTCACACCTATTCAAATTAACTGCTGTAAAGCAATCACACCAGTATTCATTTTTGTCAAAACAGACCTGTCAAGTGTGAATTCAATTACAGTGTTCAGCATTAATGAGTACACCCACTTTTGAAAATTAATATTTTTTATCCATTTTTTAGTGAATGTAGGCAAAAATTTTGGTGCATTTAAGCCAGGGGTGTCCACACTTGGTCCTGCAACCCCCTCCAGGACCAAGTTTAGCCACCCCATACTAGAAACTTCCTTGCAGGTGTGCTGAAGCAAGTTGGAGCTAAACTAAGCAGGACATCTGCCCTCCAGGAATGAGTTTAGAAACCCCTGATTCAAGCAAAACAGTTTTATTAAACAGCTATATTCATTAAAATAAGACATCTTTAGAAATAGAAAGACATTATTAAAAAAAAATAATTTATTAAAAATAATTTATTTTGAAAAAGTTATTTATAAAAAAAGTTATTACAAAACATTTATTTACAAAGTTATAAGTAAAAAAAACTTATCTCAAAACAATTACAAAATCTACAAAATATCAACAAAATGTAATACTTTTTTATGTTTCTATTGATGTTTCCTGTATATTAAAAATGTATTTAATAGTTTCCCCAACATAATAACTTGAGTGTGCAAAATTTTGGACTATGATCTTAAGTTTTTGTTAGATTAGTTCCAGTTTTGACTTTGGTACTGACTAATCTAATATATATTCAGAAATATATTATTGCCAAGCATCCAATTGAATAATATTCATTTTAAATAGAGATCTGTGAGAGATGTACTCGTTTACGCTGAGTACTATAGTAACAAAGTTAAACTTTACAAGCAAATACCTTGGTAAAAATCTTAGTAGTGCTCTGCTTGACCTCCTTGAAATGCCCCTCTGTAAACTTTTTCAGCCAAACCCAGTCACCCTGTAAACATCAAAATTATTAATATTTGTGTCAGTGTGAACAGACACAAATCAAACAAAAAGAAAAAAAGCCATGAAAGGTTACCTCATAAACAGCTACATTAGACGTTTCATGTGTTGCAGTTGCCATACTGTTTACAGAGCGCGATCGATCCCCTGTGCTTTTCTCTTCTATGTAACTTTTAGAGTCGCTAAGATCCTCAAGGGTGATTTTCTGTAACAAAATACATATTAAATGTAGAGGAAGATTTTCAAATACTTTAAGAAAGCAGCTGGTGATTTGGCACATACTCTCTTGCTGAGCTGTGGGTTGATGAAGGTCAGGTCCTCCAGTGTTAGCAGTATTCTGTTGGGCCCTTTAATCAGTTGGATTTGCTGGATTCGCCTCCTGCAAAAAACAGACAAGATCAAGCACAACTTGTAGTTCTATTTATTTATTAAAGGTAACAAATAATAGAGTGTTATCAAAACCACAGTAAAACTACCTTATGAAAAGAGATAGGCCAATAGAACCAAGAACTATAATCAAAACTATCACAAATGCTATGATGACGTATATGATATCCACACCTACAAAAGAAAAGGAGAGATTAACAGACAAACACATAGCATATACATAACAAAATATATATAAAATGATATGCTTTGGTTAACAGTGATCCTACAAAGAAGTAATGTCATATTTGTTGCTATTATTTATAATAATAATAATAATAATAATAATAGTAATAAGTATAAGAATAATGTACAATATTGTTGATTCATTAAAGAAAAATACCAATTTTCCTTTCTACAAACCTTATATATAAGTTCTAATTTAATATAATTTAATTATTTTAAGGTTTATACTTTGAATACTAGATCATTATAATAATTATTCTTATTATATAAATATTGATCAAAGTATAAATGTAAAGAATGAATATATAAATTTTATAAAACAGCAATGTGATATTCTTATAAAAATATTATTAAATATTATTAAAATTAATAATGTTTAATATTGATGTAATTAAACACAAAAATGCCAATTTAACTTTTTACAATCCATATACATAGCACAAATTATGTATGGTATATGCTAATTACTGTTAACTATTCATTTTAATTATTTCTTAAATGATTATGCTTTGAATAATCATACATTAAAATAATACAAAATAAATTGAATTAATTAATGAATCAATTTTTTTTATTTGACTATCTAATTAAAGTAAAAAATAAAAAGTTGTACCACAAATATTAAGTGTAATAAAACATAAGGCTTGAACACTGCTGCCACTGAAACCACAATTTACATGTACAGTAGTTGAAAGCAACACAAATTACTTTCAAGCAAAAAACAATGACGCCATTAAAAATCAAATGTCTATTTCTTACAGAACACAAAATCTAGAAATTGTGTGGTATTTTTTGTTGTACCTCCAGTGCAGATGGCATTGTCCTCAAACCAGCACCTGGAGTCTGAAGGAGGAGGCGACTCTCCAGGGAAATGAATGAACCTGCCAGCAAACAGCACCAAATCTGAGGTCATGTCCACCAGAAAGCAGCGATACAGCTGAGTGCCCCAGGCCTCAGTGTCCAGAATCACATAGTTGGTCTGGCCGTTTCCCTGCTCATCTGTTTGGATATCCTGGTTGAAGCCAGTGAATGTAATGTTCCTGGTGAAATAGGCCAGATTGGTCCCGGACAACCAGCGACCGGCTCTTCTGGCGTTGTGCATGGACTTGGCGAGGAGGTACAAACTGTTGTAGATTGTACCAAAGAGCGGAGAGACCTGAAAGGGAACAGAATGTTTTTTAGGCTAGACACTGTATTAGCATGCATTTGTCAATGCTTGTTTTCAGTGAAATGTAGAGAAAACATCCAAATTATGTTTTTATAAGTTGGTTTTTGTCGCACTTTATCAATTTGTGTCTGCAGACTTCAAATGCAATATACAACTCAAACTCAAAAGAAGTTTTTCTCATAACTAAATTTCCACTGCAGCAACCATTGCTTCACATACACCAAACTTCACTGAACTAAACATCTTTTATTCTAGCCAAAATAAAACAAATAAGACTCTCACCAGAAGAAAAAATATTATGAGACGTACTGTGAAAATTTATAACATAATTTATGAAATACTTAAAAAAGAAAAAAAAAATCAATAGGGGGCTAATAATTATGACTTCGTCTGTAGGTTTTGAATAATAATTATTGTAGAAAGAACTATACAAATAAACTTGAATTGAAATAAATATATTCTGAAGGATTTTCTGAGTGATATTTTTATACATATTATGGCTGATATTTTAATACGTAATATATACGTTATATCCTACAAAATACATTTTTCAAACTGTTCACGAGCTTTTTCTGTGTTAGGTAGTGATAAAAAGGAATAAGTATTTTGAACCTGTCTTTGTTCATTGTTCAGATTTTTGTGCAAGAAATGTATGCAAATAAACTCATTAAACAATTATTTTATTAAACAATGCCTCGTTTGCATTTTTAAGAATATTTTAAAAAACTTAGTAGATTGATTTGATTGATTTATTTCAAACTAAATAATATCCAAACACAAATACATTTCATTTATCATTATAATCAATCATACATATCAACAAAGCATTTCTGCAGAAAAATTCTAAACCAAAACAATTTTTTTTCCACTGGATCGAATTAGTTAATCAACTGGGAAGGCATGCTGAAACATACTAGTATTTTTTTTCCCTTATTCACCTGCAGTGTCTTGCTTTAAAGGGATAGTTCACCCAAATAAAATCAAATGTACTCACTATGTACTCACCCTCAAGTCCCTCCAAACCTGTATGAGTTTCTTTCGTCTGCTGATCACAAAAGCAGATATTCTGAAGAAAGCTGAAAACATGTAACTTCCTATTGACCTCCATAAAAAAAAATAAAAAATACTGTGGAAGCCTATGGTTTTCAACTTTCTTTAAAATATCTTCTTTTACATTTAGACAGAAGAAAGAAGTAAAAGGTGAGTAAACGATAACAAAATGAACTATCCCTTTAACGCAATGTTTAATGCTTTACACACTTTGTGTTTTATGTTTTGTGCAATGTTTTATACAACTGTACACATAAATGAGCTTCACACATGTCAGAGTTTGCACCTGCTCTGGCTCCTGTGTCACCATCAGTTCTCCGAGTTGTTTGGCCGCATTGAAGGCTTCATTGAATGTCATGATATCTGAGTCTAGAGTAATAGTGAGCACCGCGTCGTAGGCTTTGCTCAGTTTGCTGTTGTTCTGCAGAGGGTAGTATGTGATGTTGATGTAGGGCAGGCTGTACAGGAGCGTGTCATATGGTATGAACACATATCGACCGCTCGCCAGACCCATGTCATAGGCCTTCGTCAGGAAAGTGGCTTGTTGCTCTCCGCCAATGAGCACTGAGTGCATGCACATAATGATGACTGAAACACACAGGAAAAATCAGTTGATTCGTAGTAATGAATGTTAGACAATATACAGTCTAAGTTGTACAAACTGTAACAAATTAAATTAAATAAATCAATCAAAGTCAAAATAAAGATGTATTATTCGAATTTAAAGGATCATAATCAGAAAAGTATAGTTTGACCATAAGCAAAAGAAGTGAAAGGCATGAGAGATGAAGAAAACTTTCATATGTTTAAACATACAGTAGCTGATAGAGGGCAACAGTATAGTCGTCACATGGGCTGTACTGCAGTAATCAGAAGTCTACAACCGAATTATATATTTTTTCTAGCTGTGGTTATGTTGGTTTTAAAAAAAAAACCATCTAGTTCAGTTTAAACATTTTAACTTTAATGTGAACAATACCTCAAGCATTGTTCAAGTCAAGTCTAGTCTATGTATTTAGATAATTACAGTGTAATTTACAGATGGATGGATGGATAGATGGATGGATGGATGGAATAACAGAACTACAACAGATGGAATGATGGGTGAATGGATGGATTGATAGATAAATAGATAGATGTATGAATGGATGAAAAGATGGATAAGTGGAATAAGAGGACTACGATAGATAGATGGATAGATATGTAGGGCTAAATGGAATGGATAAATGGCTTAACAGAACTACGACAGACAGACAGACAGACAGACAGACAGACAGACAGACAGACAGACAGACAGACAGACAGACAGACAGATAGATAGATAGATAGATAGATAGATAGATAGATAGATAGATAGATAGATAGATAGATAGATAGATAGATAGATAGATAATTATATATTAAAAGATTGTAATAATATATAACAGTCCAGTATATTTCTAGTATATCACTAAAATAACAGTAACATAATATTGTTTCATTTTGTTTTCTTCGTTATTGTGTAACGGTGCTTTGCTCTGTAGACTATCAGAAAAAAATATCGCTTAAAGGGGCTAATAATTTTGACCTTAAATGACTTTTAAAAAATGTAAAATGCTTTTATTCTAGCCGAAATAAAACAAATAAGACTTTCTGTGAAAATTGCCTTGCTCTGTTAAACATCATTTATGAAATATAAAAAAAAAAAATCAATAGGGGGCTAATAATTAGGTCTTCATCTGTAGGTTTGGAATAATTATTATTGTGGAAAGTACTATACAAATAAACTTGAATTGAAATAAATATATTCTAAAGGATTTTTTGAGTGATATTTTTATACATATTATGGCTGATATTTTAATACGTAAAATATACGTTATATCCTACAAAGAAATTCAATATTTTTTCTAACTGTTCACGAGTGTTTCCTGTGTTAAGTAGTGATAAAAATAGAATAAGTATTTTGAATCTGTCTTTGTTTATTTTTCAGAGTTTTGTGGAAGAAATGTATGCAAATAAACTCATTAAACAATTATTCCATTAAACAATGCCTCGTTTGCATTTTTAAGAATATTTTTAAAACACTTAGTAGTTTGATTTGATTGATTTATTTTAAACTAAATAATATTCAAACACAAACACATTTCATTTACCATTATAATCAATAATACATATCAATAAAGCATTTCTGCAGAAAAATTCTAAACCAAAACTATTTGGATGAAAGGATGAAAGGATGGGTGAATGGATGGATTGATAGATAAATAGATAGATGTATGGATGGATTAAAAGATGGATAAATGGAATAACAGAACTATGACAGATAGATAGATAGATAGATAGATAGATAGATAGATAGATAGATAGATAGATAGATAGATAGATAGATAGATAGATAGATAGATAGATAGATAGATAGATAGATAGAAATATACAATTGTATATAGAAATATATAATTGATTTATATATAAAAAACAAAAGTGTAATATGAGCAGTGCATATATTATAATTAATGTACTTACTAATAAATTTTCTATTGAAAGTTTGATATGAATCAAACAATTATATATTAAAAGACTGTAATAATATATAACAGTCCAGTATATTTCTAGTATATCACTAAAAGAACAACAGTAACATTCTTTTTGTTTTCTTTGTAAACTTTTTTTTCTTGAGTTTGATTGATCTAAAAATTATCTGAGAAAAGTACTGAGAAATAATTATCAGAATTAAAAAAACAACTACTGTGTAACAACTACTCCTGTTTACCCCAGCACATTAAATTAATGTTTTAATGCAGACACTGCAAATCTATGCATTCAGAACACTGCACCTTTGATGTCCCCTGCGTTCTTGATGCTCATCAGTGTGTTCTCCAGCATGGTGTCATTATTCCCCATGGACGTGACGATGCCAACAGGAAGGCCCCGGTTTCTGAGAGCACTCGCCAATTTAGCCGCTGTGTCAATCCATATATCCTCATTAGAAGACACTATCCCAATGTTGGCCCATCTGAAAAACTTCAGAACGTTAAAAAGCACCCGTAATGGGGATGGTAATGTCCGAGCAAATGTCGGGTAACCCTGAACACGGTCTAACTCATGGTTAACACATGCCCACGAAAATAGAGACTTGTCCCAATTCTTGCTCATTAGTGCTGCTGCATTGCAGTATCCTGGATTAGTGGGGCCTACAAATGCATCGGCCACGTTTTCATACTGAACAAATGAGGTCAGGGCTTTAGACGTCTCACAGGCCTCCTGAAGGATGACGAAGTCCATCGTACAGCCCAGATCTAAGCTAAAATCATTGTTGATGCGACCGACAGCCAATCGGGATGCAATGGCGGGAAGCGATTTTGCGTAATTAGGGTCACAGTTCCATGGGCCTATGATTCCTACTTTGAAAACGAGACACTGGACACAGCGTGGAAACGTCAGCACGCCGAGAATAATCCATAGTGTAATGCTATAGAATGGCAGCGTTGAGAGGCTGCGTCTGCTCCTCAGGACAGGGCAGCAAGGGTAACTGGAGAACTGCCATAAAGCACCTCCGAATGGGAGGTGAATATGACGCATTGTCCTCCTTTAGAAGCCGTTATGAGAGACAGACACCTAGAAGACAACAGATTAGCAACTTCAGTCTTCAATCAATCTTCAATCTTCACTTTAATATCATTTACGAGGCCTGAAATCCAATGATACTGGCTGGGATATGCAGCTAGGTTGTATAGTTTTTGATACAATACAAACAATTCAAATACTAAGTTACAGATTGTTAAGTCATGTTTGCAACATGTTACCAACAAGCTTATTGATCCTACAACATGCTAATTCATGCTTACAATGTTATCCATGGTAGAAACATGCAACCAACATGCTAATCCATGCTAATTTCCAACTGGGAAATTTGTAATTATGATAATTCTGTTAACACGTGAAGGCAGTACACATGCTAAAACATGTTAATAGAAACATGCTTCAAATTCCAGAAACATGTTAGCTAGCATTCTAATCTTCAGTAAATTTTGCTTGTGACATGTTAATTATTGTTACTACCATGCTAATAACAATGTGCTACATGAAAGACACGTAGACTACAAAAACATAATAGTGATTTATTAACAGCTTGCAACAAACACTCTTAACTATGCTAACAGTAAGCTAAATCATTCAAACAACATCCTAGAAACATGCTAAAATGTGTTAAATCATGGTAGCAATGTACAAATATTATGAATGTAACAGGCTGTCAATGTGCTAAAATAATCTGTTAGACTTAGCAATGTTATAAAATGACAGTGTTATTTATAAGTGTTAATGCATGCTCGCATTGTTCTACACATTATTAATGTTATCAGCATGGCACTTATGCTACAACATGTTACAATATGCAAAAATGTTCTAAAAGATTATCCAAATGATAGCAACATGCTACAACTCGAAAGAAACACATTAACACTATAACAATTTATCAGTGTGCTAAGCCATGTTAGCCAAAATGTAAAATTTGTTATTAGTTACATGCTCTAAATTCCAGAAGCATGTTAGCTAGCATTGTAACCTTTAGTTAAACTTGCTTGCAACATGTCAATTAATATTACTAACATGCTAACAACAATGTGTTACATGCAAGACATGTAGATTACTAAAATATAGTGATTTCTTAACAGCTTGCAAAAACACTTGTAACTATGCTTGCAGTGTGGTGTGTTAAAGCATACTAACAATAGCCTAGCAACATGCTAAAACATATTAGCAGTGAGTGAAATCATGCTAGCAATGCACAAATATTATGGCAGTAACATGCTAGCAATGTACCAAAACAATCTGTTAGACTTAGCAATGTTATAAAACGACAGTATTAGTAACATAATAATGCATGCTATATTGTTCTACACATTAGTAATGTTATCAGCATGGTACTTGAATATGTACTAATGTAAGATTATTATGACATAACTAAACCGTTGCATAAATAGTGATAAACAAAACTTCCTCAATTCAATTTCAACAATTTCAAATGTCTTATTTATAATATTAAATCACTAATTATTTCACATTATATAAATGCAGTTTTGCATAACCCTTTGAATAAAATATCACAATAAACTGAAACTATCTATTATACTATTTTTTTCCACACATTTTTACAGTAAGTGTCACTAAATTCTGATTGGAAAATGTTTTTGAAAAAATGAAAAACAATCACTCATATTATTCGTCATATAGCTTGCATTAATGCTTTGCTAATCTACTGCTTGGCAGAGCAGGTTCCATAAATAAATAAATAAATAAATAAATAAATATAAGAATATTTTTATCAATTTTTCAGTGAATATTGGCAATGTATTTTTGTGCATTTAAACAAAACAGATTTATTAAACAAATAAAATATTAAACATATAATATTTTAGTCACCAAACATTTTTACAATTTTACATTTTCAAACTGAAAAATAATAGAATTAAATTTAAGCAAAGTATTGCAAAAAAATTACAACCTACAAAATTTCAACTAAATGTATCACTTTTTTCTTCTCTTGATTTTTCCTCTTTTTAAAAATTTGTATTTAATATTTTTTACTACATATAAATTTTGGTGTACTAGTTTTTAGGCCATTATTGTAAGTAATTTTGCTAGATAAGATGAAGATTTGGCTTCAGTGCTGACTAATCTAATGTATATACACAAATTTGTATGGCTTTTCATTAAAATATGAATTCAAAAGATTTGTGAGGGGTGTACTTATATATGCTGAGCACTGTACATTTCCCGCATGGAAAAAAAATGCGACATCAAACATAATAAAAACAATTAACTTACCATTATTACATGGGCCCCGTGATGCATGCATCAAAACATGTCCACAAAGTTTTCCTCCAGTATTTCCTTTCATAAGGTTGAATAAAATCCTTTAAATCACAGGCTCATCTTTACCGATGGTTTTGTCATGTCAGTTGTTCCGTGGGCATAAATAAATATGCGTAGATCTCAGCTCACAAACAAGAGTTTGATGAGGCTCGTCGGTGTCGCTGAGAGATTCAACTTCAGCACCCTGGAGATCTGCTTAATGCCTGCAGTCATCAATCCTTCTGCACCTTCACTATTCACACCTAACACTCCGTAACATTTTCCAGATTCACTGTTAAAAATATTCCAGTATAACCCCGTAGCTGATGTCAATATGGGTTAAAGTTACCTTCAATTTCTTATATCACAGCATCTGAAATCCTTGATGAGTTTCAAAACAATTAAATACATTTTCTAATAAAAATAAACATAAACAGTTTTATAATTAAATACATTTTTCCATTAACACTGTTATAAATTTAGCAGTATAACTAATTAAGAGTTCTCAATAAGGGTTAAAGTTACCTTACATTTGTCATATCGCACTTTCTGAAATCCTTGACATGTTTAAAATCAAGTAATTACATATTCTAGCTAAATAAAGTTCAATGAAAAAGTGGTATGCATATTAAATTAAATGTCCTATAATATGTAGAGGCCTAGATGTTTCTCTATTGAATGAAAGTCCTTTGAAAGTGACCCGCGGATGAATCTAATCCATACTTGGTCAGGGACAAAATAAGAGGATTGCAGACGTGCGTTAACGCCATAGACCCTCCTGCGCTCACTGAGCTGAACGTGAAAGCAATTAGGTACTTTTTAGACAAATAGAGGAAAGATAAAATTTTGTTTATGTGAATTATGATCATTGCAAGTGATAAATTTTACATTAGGATGAAAAGTCTTGATGAGCCAAAAAGGTTTATGAAATCATGCAACTATAAATCTCAAATGCACTTTAATTTTAATAGATAAATGAAACAGATTTTTACATTTATATTCATTTATTTTATGTTTTATAGGAAAAAAGTGTAAAGGACTTATAAAAATTGATGTTGGATTCATACTTTTCCGCAAATTGCTCAAATATCAAACCAATTTAACTATTTTAACATGTTTTTTTTTTTTAGGAATGAACATTATTCATTAATAGCATAACTATGAAGTTTCTATAGATCCTTTTGAGGGATGTAAACAATAACATTGCTGGCCAAATGTATTTCCTGTATTACATTTTAAATTTCCATAGCTCCCATGAATCTACATATTGATAAATAATGTAACGGTAGCCATTTTAACATTGAGATATGATTAAACTACCTGTTGTTACAGTTATGAAATAGTTTGGCAACAAGCAGCAAATGTTCATGGGCCAATGACAAGACCACATTGAAATGGTCTATCTAGGGTTGGGTTTTTAAACTAAAATTAGAATTTATTTTCAGACAAGCGTCATATAAGCGTCACATTATCCTATATATAAGCTGAATGATTAAGCTTTTCAAAATAACTGTTCCTATTACTAATCAAAAATTTAGTTTTAATATACAGTATTTACAGTGGAAATGTATATAATTTCTTCATGAAACGTCATCTTTATTTAATAATCAAGTCGTTTTTTGGCATGAAGGAATAATTTTGACTCATACAATATATTGTGTTATGAATATAAACATGGATATAGTTTTGTTCAGGGTCTAAGTAATTCATCTTCATTATATTGTATTATTCATTCATTCATTTTCATGCAAACTCCACACAGAAATGCCAACTGACCCAGCCGGAACTCAAACCAGCGACCTTCTTCCTGTGAAGCAGCAGTGCTAACCACTGAGCCACCGTGTCACCTTATGAAATGCATTGAATATAGTGGTTAAATTTCACATTAGGTTGAAAAGTCTTGATGTGCCAAGAAGGTTTAGGAAATAATGGAACTATAAATCTCACATACACCTTGATTTTCATAGTTAAATGAAGATTTTTACAGTTATATTTATGTTTTAATATGAAAAAAGTGTGAAGGACTTATAATAATCTATATATAAAAGTATACTTATAATAAAAGGGTTGATTATCCAGCATATGTTTTACGCAGAGGATGCCCTTCTAGCTGCAACCCATCACTGGGAAACATCCATACACACTCATGCACACACATACACTACAGACAGTTTAGCTTATCTACTTCACCTGTACCGCATGTCTTTGGACTTGTGGGGGAAACCAGAGCACCCGGAGAAAACTCACACGAACATGGGGAGTACATGCAAACTCCACACAGATAATGCCCACTGACCCAGCTGAGGCAAAAACAATAAAAAATTTTTTTAAAAATTATCTATATTTTCATGTTCTCATTTTGGTGGTTCATTCCGCTGTGGCAACCCCTGACTAATGAAGGGACTAAGGTGAAAAAAATTATAAATGAATGAATATTCTAATTGAAAGGTTCACATTTAAAATAGATCCACCTGTTTCCATCTCTCCATGGAGACACGGTGGTGCATGAGCGTTTAGGCAGTGTAATTAGGCATTTGTGTTGGTGTAGCTGTGATCGGCCCGCTTCAATTGAATTTGCACAAGGTGTACAGGGTATAATTAAAGTTAACGAAGGGCGCTCCCTTGGACAATCCCTAGAGTTCATCTACATCTGCCTGCGTCAGATAAACCTCATTTACACCAGCAGCACAATGTTTACCCTAACAAAAAAAAACAAAAAAAACAGAGACAAATTGGTGCTCACGCAGTTGTCCCGTCGTAAAATTTAACACAAAATTAACCAAAATGTTTTACACAGATGTGTCTTGTGACATTATTGCAAACGGTATTCAGCCAAAGGCCATGTGAATAGTCTATGTGCGCTGAATCAGTTGCTAAGCTTTCAGTTGGTTGAACTATAATGTATAAAGAGAAAGTAAAATAAAAAATGTTTGTTAGCTATTTATATATCCATAGATATTTTTATAATAGTGCAGCAGACTAAAAAGCATACAATGTATTTCTCTAAATCTTCCAGAAATCAGTATTTAATAAGGTCATATATGTGCTTATATTTATGAAAAACTCTCTGTCATTTATTTGCGGTGGGCTAAACAACACAATGCAGTAGCCCTAATATAATAATTGATTGTACAATTTAATCCAGTACTTTTTAATGTATTTTGAAGTTTGCATGTTCTCCCCGTGATCGTGCGAGTTTCCTCCGGGTGCTCTGGTTTCCTTCACAATCCAAAGACATGCGCTATGGGTGAATTGGATGAACTAAATTGAGCCATATGTGTATGAGTGTGTGTGTGTGTGTGTGTGTGTGAATGCAAGAATGTATGGGTGCTTCCCGGTATTGGGTTGCAGCTAGGAGGGCATCCACTGCATAAAACATATGCCAGAATAGTTGCCGGTTCATTCCATGTGTAAGAACAGATGTTTTTTTTTTTTATCATTTAGAGTCATTTGTGTATTTCAGTGTTTCCCTAATATAATTTAGAGAGTGCAATGGTTCTTGAGATCAAAATAATAATAATTAAATAAAATAGTTTTTTTCACAGCAAAACAAGAAATGCTGTTAACATTGCTGCTAATTTTGAGAAAAGCTGAATTGAAGTCAGATATTTTAAATCCCAAAAAATCTGAAAATGTCCCATGGAGTCCATTAGGGACTGTGTTTATTACCATGTGGCTGTTAACACTTGAACTTGACTTTCTGACTGATGGAGTGACTATGGGGATTTCTGATGGAGCTTAAAGCATTGGGTGAAGGCCTGTGGGTGTGTGTTTGCCTTCGGGTCACTATCCAGATTTTGAGGTGGGAGTGAGAGCGAGAGAGGAGGGCGAGAGAGATGTGCTGACCTATATCCAATAAGCCCCTTAGCTTGTTACGTGTTGCACCTTGACACCTACACCTGCCCTACAACCAGAAACAGAGGATGCAAACTCAGCATACAGAAATACAGATGATATTATGGCAGTCTGTGGCCATTAAAATAATAAGTAAAATAAATCTATAAAGTTAAATAATTAAAATGCATGGTCTGTGAAATGTTTACAGGATGTTGTGGTATTGATATATTGATGGGCTGATTAGACATTATTAAGCATTGTTGAAATTGCAGTTCACATATGCTCTATTACAGGCCTGTAGCAAGGGGATTTAATCATATCTTAATGTTAAAATGGCTGCCATAATATTATTTAGCAATATTTGAACTTTTTTGTATTCTTGAAAGGTATGGAAACTAAAAATGTACTCCAGGAAATACGTTAGGACCATTGTTATTATTTACATCCCTCAAAATGAGCTCATTTGTCCCATTTTTGATAGTATGCCATCATAAATTATGACAATAATCAATAAAAGAGGGCATTGGTTATTTGAATAGACAAATTCTGATGGAGAAAATGAGCTGGCCAGTTTGTTATTAGCCTTTAGGATGCAGTTTTTTAATTTAGTTAATTTAGTTTATTTTAATTTATTATTTTTTATCTTAAGTTTAACAGATTCCCAATTTTTTTTTCGATGGATGATAATAAATTAGCATTTAAAAAAAAGTATTTTTTCACATTTCTAAAGTTCTAATCTCATTACATTCGTATAAAACTGCAATAACTACTTTAAATGCACATTTATAAATAAACACATTTTTGTAAACGTAGGAAGTATTTTTGTTGCATCAAAAAGTGTGGTAATGACAACCATCCAATAAGTTAATCCAGCACAAAATAATGCTTAAAGTTTCACTAAAATGCTGTATTTGAACCATGAAGAAATGCATAAAGGTTCACTTTGAGAAAAAGAACCGTCCCTTTAAATAGACTGGCTACGGGCTTGTATTATGTGGATTATAATTTAAGATTAATGAATAAATGAGTCGGGGCGGCGCTGTGGTGCAGTAAGTAGCACTGTCTCCTCACAGCAGAGGTTGCAGGTTAGAGCCTCTGCTGGGTCAGTTGGCATTTCTTTGTGGAGTTCTCCTTGTGTTCTCGGGTTTCTCCAACAAGTACAAAGACGTGCTGTACTGTAGGTGAATTGGGTAAGCTAAATTGTTTGTGTGAATAAGAGTGTAAGGGTATTTCCCAGTGATGGGTTGCAGCTGGAAGGGCATCTGCTGCGTAAAACATATGCTGGATAAGCTGGCGGTTCATTCCGCTATAGCGACCACAGATGAATAAAGGGACTACGCTGAAAAGAAAATGAATGAATGAATAAATGAGTGATTTTCTCTATTTATTGAATTGAGGGCCTCTTTCAATTGCTTCTGTGTTAATTTACTGCCCTCTAGTGGATGAAAAAACTATGCACTCTTTTCATGGATTCTCATTTAAGATAAATTAGAACTGGGGGTTTCAATTTGGGGCCCACAAGAGAAAAATCCAATATATATAATTAAATAATAGAGTTAGTAAAATAAAAATATGTTTAAAAATAAGCAAACATTACAAGAAAATAAATAAGTACGGAAATGTAAAAACAACGTAAAATACATTTTAAAATAATAATAATAAAATAATTAATGCTAAATATGCTTAAATAAAAATAAAATATATAATCCAACATTATATCAAAAAAGATCAATTAAAAGTGTATTAAAACAAACAAATAAATAGTAAAAAATATATATACATAATAAATATTTTCCAGTATTTTAGATGTAAATTTTTAGTCAACAAGGATGGGGATCAGTAACATCTAAAAGTTTGAAGAGCCCTAAATATGTAGATTATAAAAATTAAAGTAGATT